TTCTCAAGGCAATAAGCCCATTGGATCCAATATCGAACCAAGAGTCATCCTCGGGGTGGCAACCCGAGCATTTTTCCTAAGACAATCCGATTAAAGGTCACCAAGCCTAGCCTAGCCTCGGTCTTTTCCTTACAATCGTTGAGCACTAGAGTCATCACGGCCAAACCCGAATTTGTTCCCTAGTGGCCAGAGTCACCACACACAGTAAAATAATTTCCCTGGACTTTTATATACAGATGGTCCCAATAATCAATACAATTCTGTTTCGCAAAACATGATAGTTCACCATTATAAATATAAGACCATAACAAATAGTTTACAATATGCCAAGTTCACATATATTTCAGAAATAATTTAATTTCCTTAATAATATAATAATTTATCAAAACAGTTTAGTTCTGGAACAACAATTTAATTTTTCCAATAGTTCAGGGTAGGGGAACATTTATAAAAATATGTAACATGCAACTACATACCTGAAAACGAAATAATATAATCATCGAATAGAGTATGAAAGTCCAACTAGTACCTTGAACCAATTATGAAAACTACACGTCACTTCTAATTTAAAAATACTAAAAAAAAAAAATAACTAAGTACCCCACATTAAAGCGCACTAACGCAGCTCAAACCCCACTCGCCGTTACTCTTAAATAATACCTAAGTTCATGTTCTTCAAGGTCTAAAATCACCCAAGACATGGGTTCAAATCGAAACTTAATTAAAAGTAATTTTAAGATAAAATATAATTTTAAACAAGCTTTTCAAATCTATTCGCTAACTTTGAAAATTACAAAACTCACTCCACGCTATTTGAAAAATTCCAAAACCCTCCAGACATCAACTAATATATCCTAAGTTTCAAACCCAATTGGTTTTACTTGATTTACTTATCAAAATAATTATTTACAATTAATTATATCCAAACAGATCGCTTTCTGCAGCACTTTAAAGAAATTAATGGCTATCTTAGTATACAAGGGAAATCAATGCAAGGATAAAAATGTAAGAAACTATACTCGTAACCAGTTCTAATGATGCTTATTTGATAATTTTTTGATTTATACCCAAAGAAAACGACACTTTCGAAGGTACTGTTTTACACCAGTTTTCTAGACAAATTTGAACCCACCAGTTAATATAGATTTTGACTCCCAAAATTTATGAGAAAATTCTTATATGCAATTCAATATATAATTAATCTACTGTAAAAATTTTAGTTAAAAATTCATCCACTTGATATGATTCCTCGATTTTTAAAGTTTGTGATTCTGTACAGAATTTTTTTTGAACTAAGAATTATAACCATTATTTCTCGTCACCAACCACTTACTTAGCACCCAAACAACACACCCGTTTCTCCTATTCCTTCCCAACAACAAGCAGATTACACACATGAGCCATCACAACATATAGATATAATAAAATAGGGCAATACCTTAGAATTGTTGACCACCAATGTTGCTACAAGTTTCTCTCAAATCTCTCCTCGCTCCCCCTCACGACTGCTGCTAACTTGTGATGAACAAATAAGAAGATAGGGTTTTGTATATATTTTATTTAATACTAGTGGTTGGGCACACCCAAAGCATGTTTAGATTAAATAAATAAATAATATACAAAATGTTTAAATATGTTGTAAGCAACTCAAATGATAAGACTATTATTTATCAAATTGTGGTTTAGAGTTCAAGTCACACCATCTTCTCTATTTATTTTTTAAAAAAATAACAAATCTTGCCTCTAAATTAAAGACTTTAACCATAAATTTATTTTAGGTTTTAAAATTAATTAGAAAACTATTTAATAATATTTAGTTTGCACTTAAAAATTCATAAGCAAAATATTTAAAATTGTAAAATAATTATTATTTAATTATTTATTTGATTTGTATATTCGGATTGCCCAGCGACACCGGTGATCGGTAGGTTGCGGAGAAGGCAATGCTACATCTCTTCTCTGCCATCTTCTTCTATGGTTTCTATATATATATTTTTTTCGCTCTAAGAGTAAGTTAGCAAAAACTCTAGCAAATCGAGGTATTTATTAAGTGCCTGGTGATATCAGAGACGTTGGGCGGTCTATCCTCTGCTCCCCATCTACTCACTTTTTATATTTTCAAACCCCACAACCTACTAATTTATTTTTAGAAAGGCCATTTCTGTATAAATTTAAAAATTAGATTTAATTTTTAAATTTAAAAATGTGATAATTAATTATGATATTTAAGGTAATATTTTTTTTCATATCTTCTCAATCATCAATCAATGATATTACTTATACATCACTAAATTTAAAAAATAAATTTACAAAATGAACTCATATATCATTTTTTATTTAAAAAATGATGAATTGAAAATTATATTAGTATATGTTAATATAAATTAACATTTCCCTTGCACCTAATTGATTTGCTATAGATTATATATTTCCCACGACCAACTAATATATTAGCATTTCTCTTGTACTTAGATAATTTACTATAAATTATATATTTTTTAATACCAGACATCTTATCTTTTTAATTTATTTTTATTTTCCACAACCTATTAATATAGTGGCTTGATTTTTTGGTTATTTTAACATGGGGTCATTTGAGTTGATTTTTTTGTATTTTTTTATTTTTGTGAGAGAAAAAGTGAAAGGGAAATGTTAATTTATAGGAAAAAGAAATCAAGGCCTCTATTTGCTATAAATGATTTTCCTATTTTTCATTTTGAGACAGTCGGTGGAAGCAAAATCAAGGCCAACTATGTCATCGTCAGGCGCTGCAGTTGTTGAAATTGTGAGAGCTAGACACAACGCTCGGTAGAGAAGAAGAATAAGAAGATGAAGAAAGAGAAAAGAGAGGCACCTGATACCTCAGCAATGAAACAAGGAAGAAAAGAAAATAAAGAAAATACGGGAAAAAAAAAAGGAAAAAGAAAAAGAAAGAGAAAAAGAAAAAGTAAAAGTAAAAGAAAAAAGATATGTTCCGTGTTTATTCTTGGAGTAAAATGTGTCTCACTTTCAATCTTTATATAATCTTGATCAAACATAATTATACAAAGAGGGATAACTGTTGATATTCCATTTTGCCCCAAGCCAAAGGAATTTACATAAATGAAAGTCACCGTTCCAACCGGAATGCCCAAAATTCTTTGGACACAAATTTATGGTTTTTTTCATCAAGCAAATCTCAACTACTAATTTGAGTTGTTATGTGTCTCCATCACACATGATTATTTTTCATCAACAACTTGTCACTAGAGCTAAATGGGTTTTTATTCCATGTGTTTGAAGATTCCTCCCATTCGTGTCCAACCAATGCAGAATTGTCACATGGCGTCCATCAAATCAACATCATATTTCAACCACCCAGATCAAGGAATTCATGTGCCTCCACTACACTGAATAAATTCTACAAAGTTTTATATAATATATATATAATAAAAAAATAATGAAAACGATGAGATAATTTCCACCTGACATCATTATCATTATTACATTTTTATTTTATTTTTTTGTACCCACCATCATCATCATAATCTTCATCATCATTTTATTTTTTTTGATCAGCGAAGAAAAGGAAGCTTTTTTATCATCATCATTTCATTTTTAATTTTTTTTATAATCATCATCATCACCACCATAACTTCTCTCTAAATAGATTGATGCCAAATGAGGCAGAGCTCAGGAGAGAAGGGGAGATCAGAAGAGAGAAAAATTGAGAAAGTGAAGAAAGAGTAAGAAGAGAGGAGAGTGAGGGAAATTATTTTAAAAAAAATCAGAGTGAAAAAAAAATGACTTAGATAGAAGAGAGGAGAGTGAAGGAAATTTAAAAAAAAAAAAATTCAGAGTGAAAAAAAAAATGCCTTAGATATTTTGATTTTTTTTCAGTTCAAAAAAAAAAGATGTTTTGATTTTTTTTAACCTATTGGTGGATATTTACATAAACAAATTGAACAATATTTATATTATATATCCATTTATTTTCTTTATTCCATTCAAGTTAATATACTTTATTTCATTTTTTTTATGTTTACGTTATTACTATATTATTTATACATATGTGTATATATTTTAGATGAAATTGACCCCTATATATATACATATATATAAATAAAAAATAAATAAATGATATTTACCATAACATATGTGTATATATATTTTGATAGAATTGACCTCTATATCTATATATACATGTATGTGTAGAATAAATATTATTTATCATAATATGTATATGTATGTTTTGGTGAAATTGACCCTTACATATATATACATATACTTATACACATACATATGTAAAAATTACATCTGAATAAATATATATTTGATGGAATTAACCCAATATATATATATATATATATGTACATGAGTATATATACATATATATATACATGAGTGAGTGTATATATATGTGTGTATTTATTTATTTACATGTAAACACTTCACTACTAATTCTACTAATCATTTGTCATATTAAATGCTAAATTTTACTTTAACCGTTATAAATATTTTTCAAAGGTAGATTTATCAGCAAAGAAATCAATAGATTTAGAAACACAGTACCATAAAGGTGATGTAGGGTGCCTAACACCTATCTTACCCGTAACAATAAACCCCCAAGCTCATCACTAATTTTTCTAAGACCAAAATTGAAGTCACTATCAAATTCAATTGGTGTATAAACAAAAAAAATGATTATAAGCAAAAAAATGAATAATAGTTTGTAGAGAATAGAGTGAGAAATGATTTTTTTTTTTTTTTAAATCATAAGTAACAAAAAAATATCATTAAAAAAAAAAGCATGAGCATTAATTGGTGTATACCCGATCGTAGCATTGCTCCCTGCAATTCAACCTTTCCTATGCAAAAGAAGAAAAAAAAAATCAAAATGAAAAAATAAAAAAATAAATAAAAATGAGCTGTCATATCGAGGCCTTAAAATAAAAAACGACTAGAAGGAAGTGTTTGCTCCCTTCAATTCAATGGAGATTTTCGCTATGCAAAAAATAAAAAAATAAATAATAAAAAAACAAATTGAGTTGTCATATCCAGGCCTTAAGATTAAATAAAAGTAAAAAAAAGTCTTCGTTGACAATTGTTTCCTCTCTATATTTATTTAAGGTTGAAAGTGGTGAGATGGGAGTAAGGAAAGTTTAGCAAATTCAATTGGTGTATCAGCTTTCTTGGCAAAATGAGCTTCAACGATGATGAGCCGATTGTTGCAAGCCAAGATGTCTCAGGTTTATGTTTTCTTCGTTTCTCCATTTATACTCTATGAATTTACAAAGAAAAGCCACACAATTGTATTGATATGTCTCACTCAAAGCTTACAAGAAACACAGTATTCATCCTGTGTCAAATCTCTTGAAGTCTGAGAGATAGATCTTCCCTCTATCAGCTTATATAAATCATAGCTATTAATTGAGCTATTTACAGAAGCTCTTACTAGTGTGAAAGCATGGCTGGAGCTATCTGTAAATCATGGCTGGAGTCTTCTTCTTCTTCTTCATGTCTAACTCTTTGACCCTTTGACCATGGAAGCTCCATTGAAGCAGCCATGCTTCTGCACAATGTATCATGTGTAGCAAGTTCATTTCCAACACTTTCTGCACCTTATCGGCTGTATATACTCCTATAGCATACTAGAATGTTTTGATGATTGTTAATTTGAGTTTTGAGATAATGGCATATTTCAGCGGAAAAATCTGCGGCAATCCTAACAGGAAAAACAAAGGTGACAATCATCAAGAAAACGACGGCACCACTGGAAGAAAGCGAATTCAAGGTGATGCTGAAGCTCACTGCGGCAGGATCCGGCAGCGACAGATCCGGAGTGGATCTTGTGACGGTCTTAGATGTCAACGGTAGCATGGAGGGAGAGAAGTTAGAAAAAATGAAAATTGCCTTGCTATTCATGATCAAGAAACTTAGCCCGATTGATCGTTTGTCGGTTGTCACATTCAGCGGGGTCTCTCACAGGTTGTGCCCATTGCGGCAGATAACCGAAAATTCTCAAGGGGAGATTGAAAATCTGGTGAATGCTTTAGTTGCTGACGGTGGCACAAACATCTCTGCTGGTCTTCAAACAGGCTTAAAAGTGCTAAATGACCGCAGACTTACTAGCTGGCGTGCAGTTGGCATTATGCTTATGTCCGACGGCAAGCAAAACGAAGATGGTGATGCTGCCCAAGTTCCGGTTGGCAATGTGCCCATATACACATTTGGTTTTGGCGCAGACCACGATCCGAGGGTACATTGTATTGAAAAAAATAATTTCATTCATATTGATTTTACAGGGTACAAGAGGATGTTGATATTATCTGTTTAGCAATCTATTTTATAGAGGAATTAACAGCTAGTTGTACACTAATCTAGGCTAGCTAGAGTCTTGGGTGATCCATACTTGGAGGATGTTGATATTATCTGTTTAGTAAATTTGGTTATTGTATTGGAATTTTCTTTAGTAAATTAGGTGATCCCTACACATTCACTCCACATAATATGTTATATTCACTCCAAACTTTTATTTTTTATTTTTTTTTCCTTTCTTTCCTTCCTTATAACACTGTGATGTGGGAAACCCAGTATACAGAACCTGTGAATTTTGGAGTGATGGTTAGCATTTTTCTAAGAAAAAATTGCAAAAGTTGTAGTATATAATATAACTGATGTAGGATAAGATTTTAAGAATTTTAATATTTTTCAATTTTAATATTTTTGATATATTATTTTACTAGAATTCTTGTAATTTAATATAAATATTTTAAAATTATTTTTCTTACAAATATTAGGTCTAATATAAGACAAGATTTTTAAAAAAATTTAAATCTTATCCTACGTCAATAACTTTAGTAATTCCCGTACGTGTACTCTTTGATATAGGTGCTCAATGCCATCGCAAACCACAGCATGGGAGGAACGTTCTCACATGTTTCAAACCAGAACAACTTGGGTATTGCATTTTCCCAGTGTTTGGCTGGGCTTCTCACCGTGGTTGTTCAGGATCTGAAGCTCACTGTCACAAAAGTTGAATCCACAATCGTTAAGGTGTCTGCCGGAAACTATCCACAATCCAAGGACGATGCTGCCGGCTCTGTGACTGTTTCATTTGGCGATCTTTACAACAAAGAGGTACGCAAGGTCATAGTGGACCTTCTTCTCCCTGCCGCTAGTAAGCCGGCGAGCTCGAATATCCTCAACATCACTTACACATACAGGTCAGGTGGTACCAATATTATCAAATCCCTGCATTTACTAGCTAGTAGAATAAATTATGTTTCGTTTGTTCGATCGGCTATTTAATTTGACTCGATGATCGATCTGACAAATATAATGGATATGTGCATGCATATAACGCGCGTGCAGCTCTGGTGGGAAATTGTTTGATGCCAGTCCGATAATCGTTACCGTAAGACGCACCGGAGGAGGCAGCGAGGAAGGAGAACCAGAGAGGAAGGAGGTGATGATGGAGGAGAACCGTCTCCGGACTGCACAGATGATAAAAGAATCAAGAATCATGGCTGACGACAAGAAGCTGGACGGTGCTCTTGAGAAGCTCGTTGAAGCACAAAGCTTGCAGGAGAACATGGTTAATGATGAGTCTAACCCGTTGATTGGGATGCTGAAATCTGAGCTGCAACAGATGTCGAGGTTGATGAAACCACAGGAAATCTACGAAAACCAAGGGCGTCCTTTTGCACTCTCTTCTGAGACTTCCCATAATCGCCAGCGTTTCGCTGCAAGAGGTGATGATCCGAAAGAGCTGAGCTTATTTGCCACTCCGCGTATGGACGCATACCTTGGGCAAGCCAAGTCATTTGACGAGGATCCCCGCAAGCCACTGCCCTCTGTGGACGAGGATGAGAAGCAAGAACGCGCGGCCGAGCCCCTTCCTCCCATGGTTCGACGTCTTTGCTACTATATTCAGAAGGTCATTCGGTCTTTTTTCAAAGGTTTTTTGAAATGTTGCCGAAAAATATGCGTTTCGGATTCATCTCCACAAGACGGATAGAAAAAATAAAATATTTTTGACATAATTTTTATAAATAAAAAAAAATCACTGAAAGAAAAAAAATTCAAAAACAAGAGGTGGTTTTCTTTATCCATTACAACAAACTCAATAAAGCCGGCCGCCCGTAATTCAATGCTTGCATGCGTGCTTTAATCCCTTCGCCATCAATCTTTAATTTACAATGTAACCCATTGCATTGGGTTTTGCCTTTGCACTTCAATAAATATAACGAGTGTGATTTGCCCGTTGTTAAGTTTTTTTTTTTTTTTTAATTAGCCATGTCACAGATAGATTACATTTTTGTTAAATTTCCAGTGTATGATTTGCCTATCGCACTTCAATAAATTACTAGCGGGTGATTTGCCTCGTGAAATAAGTATCTTGATAGATTCGTTCAATTTAGATTTGAGATAGTTTGACCTATTGGGCCGATTTTGTTGTACAATCTTCACTGTATTTAAATAGATTAAATTTTGTTGTATACAAAACAACAACAAGAATATAAAGAAATAAAGAAAATGAGAGAATTTGTTTGATTACAAAAATCAAACTCGAAATAATAAATCTAGGGATACTTAGGATGGGCCCTAATGGGTACCTAGGTTTGTGGAAGGGTGAGGTTATGGGTGAAGTGGGCTAGACCCATTGGACCCAAAACTAAAACCACACGCGCGCGCCGTTGCCACTGTCCGTCCGGTCGGCGCAGGCGGGCTGGGCTGGGCCTGGGCTTGGGTGCCTGGTGCGAGGCTGGGTTGGGCTTGTTCGGCCCAATACTTAACTTTTTGGGCCAAAAACATTTAAACTTTATTTATTTATTTTATTTTTGCTTTCAAAAATCAAAATAAATTGGTCCAGAATTTTTTCTTTCACCCAAACAAATCCCTAACAGGTTCAGACCCACTTGAGAAGATTCTGGAGAAATTTGGAAAGTATGACGAATGTCCTGCTAAAACACCTATTGACATTAGTCATCATTTGTCAAAAAATATAGGTGCAAGCATATCACAATTAGATTACTCTCGAATAATTAGAAGCTTGATGTACTTAATGAATTGCACTAGGCCAGATTTAGCCTATGCTGTAAGCAAATTGAGTAGGTACACAAGTAATTCAGGGTTCGATCATTGGAAAGCGATAATTAGGATACTTAGGTATTTAAGACATACCAAGAATTATGGCCTTTATTATACCAAATATCTAGCAGTACTCGAGGGGTACAGTGATGCAAATTGGATATCGGATATTAAAGACTCAAAATCCACTAGTGGATTTGTCTTTACCCTGTGAGGTGTTGTAGTCTCTTGAAAATCCTCCAAGCAGACATGCATAACAAGGTCGACAATGGAATCTGAGTTGATCGCATTAGATAAAATAGGAGAAGAAGAAGAATGACTTTGTAATTTCTTAGAAGACATTCCAATGTCGCCTAAACCTGTGCCAGCTATATTCATTCACTGTGATAGTGAAGCAGTAATAGGACGGGCACATAATCATTTGTATAACGGTAAGTCTCAACACATTCGTCGAAGACATAATATCGTTAGGCATTTGCTCTCACATGGAATAATTTCCATAGAATATGTAAAGTCAAAGGAAAATATTGCGGATCCATTGACTAAAGGGCTAGCCAGAGAGCAAATGTGTTATTTAGCGAGGGGAATGGGATTAAAGCCTATTACTTAAAAGTCGCCATAATGGCAACCCAACCTAGTTGATTGGAGATTCCAAGATCTAGGTTCAAAGGGACAACCGAATTATGGATGACTTTATGTATTACTGAGGAGGTTTACTCTTACCCATTTCTATGATAAGAAGTGTGATACCTGCAGCGTTAGTAGGATAAGCTTTGCTTTTAATGATTCTAATAGCTTGGACATCCAAGTGGGGTATAGCAGGATACTCTTAATAAGAAGCCACCTATATGAGTGTGAACTAGGCCGGTTCTGTGAGAATTGAGAAGGCTAAATTCTCTAGAGCACTTATGAATTACCAGGCGTTGTTCAAGGCCAAAATGAAGACAATTGTAAGAACCAAATTGTGTTTGAGGATACACTATGTGTAGTCTATTGTCTTGGCTTACACAAACAGCTGAACAGTTCAAGGTATCGCATCCACTGATTAGCTAGTAAGTCTGATAGGCTTTCACTAGAGGAGGTTCAAAGCCAAAAGCTACCTATCTCGATGTAGTGTATCTTCTTAATATACTCTTTCTTTGTTTGCATCTTGATGCATGTCCGCTATCATGAATTCCATTCATGTGGGGGATTGTTGGAAAATGGCTTTAGAAATTCCTTTTTTTTTTGCTAACTTTGAGCATTAATTAAGGTTGGACCCAAGAGTTATTTTTAACGTTTCTAATTGGGTTCATGTTTAATGCCGCGTAGTGAATAAATTCGTGTTTTTGGTTGCTCAAAACCATTTCCAGATGAATAAGAATTCGAAGCGCGTTTTTGGATTCGTGAAACTAGTTTTTTGGTGGGTTTCTTACACATTTGTGAAATATGCTTGTCCCACATTGGAAAGGCTTGAGGTTTTGAATGGGTTTATATACCTTAACTTGGGATACTTGGGATGGGCCCCAAGGGGTACCTAGGTTTGTGGAAGGGTGAGGTTATGGGTGAAGTGGGCTAGACCCATTGGACCCAAAACTAAAACCACACGCGCGCGCCGTTGCCACTGTCCGTCCGGTCGGCGCAGGCGGGCTGGGCTGGGCCTGGGCTTGGGTGCCTGGTGCGAGGCTGGGTTGGGCTTGTTCGGCCCAATACTTAACTTTTTGGGCCAAAAACATTTAAACTTTATTTATTTATTTTATTTTTGCTTTCAAAAATCAAAATAAATTGGTCCAGAATTTTTTCTTTCACCCAAACAAATCCCTAACAGGTTCAGACCCACCCAATTAGGTTCAAAGGGTTCAAAATAGGTTCATACCTGTTCATTTCAAATTGAATCTGTTTGGATAGATTCAAATCTGTCTGGTGCCTTTCCAATCTCTTCGAACAGGTTTTATACCTGTTTAGAAAAGCCACGAATTCTCCTATTTAAGGCCTGCCTTCCAAAAATTCAGAACATACATTTTCCCCTCAGATTTTCGTCTCTCTTCTCCCCTTTCCGTATTTCTATTTTCTGCATTTATTCTGCATTTAATTTAGGAAAATAAAGAGAGAGTTTTAACAAAGTTTTGGTTCGCCAGATTTGATTTTATAGTGCTGTAAAATCAAGTGTTAGTTATTACATCTTGGGAAGTAGACGCCGGTATAACTCGAAGCCCGGAGCGAGGATGAAATCTACTTTAAGGAGATTGTGTTCAACACAAGCCTTATGTAAGCATTTAATTTGGGAAATAATTTATATAATTATTTTATGAATTATTTTGTTTTATTGTTTATTTAATTTATACATTTAATTTACACACATGCCCCTCTTGGATTTATTTATTTATTTATTTTTAAATAAAATTTTAAATAAAATAATATTTAGAATAAAATTTCAGTGGCATTTTTAAATTTATGAAAATAATAGTGGTTTTTTTTTTATTGAAAATGAAGTGATTATAACAAATTATATTTTTATGTATGAAAATTTTGTGAAAAAATCTCAATATAAAGGTAATATTCATCATTATTGATATGCAAATATAATTAATCTTACTATATATATGTAAAAATTACTGGAGTGTTAGTTATATTTACATGTGGAATTCACCTTTTATATGTTGTTTTACTATTAGTTGGTGATATCACTATTATATGAAATTTTTACTTAAATTTTGTAAAACTTTGGTTTATCTTACCATTATATAAATTATTTTAAGACTTAAATATATGATTTTTTTTTATATTGTCCATGATACACTAGTTACACATAATACTTTCTTTTCAATTTTACTCGAAGTTAATTATAAAATTTTATGTGAAATAATTTTATAATAATTTATTTATGTTTTTCTACTTAATATTAATTCAAAAATTATTATTATTTTCTTATTGTTGGTTATGAAAAAAAAATAAAATTAAAGTTATAATCAATAAATGCCCTTTCTGATTTAGTTTCCTAACTCCACCACTAATTCCAAGTGTTTACATTATTTCAAAAAATAGAGAAGGTATTGGAGAAATCATCAAACAATATTAGTTGGAGATACAAACCTATGTTGTTCTGGACACATATGATAATTTTTGTTAAAACTTAATAACAAATTTATTATTTATAGAATCAGCATGCTTATTGCTACAAAATTACAAAATTAGAATGCTTATTACAAAATTAGAGATTAATGCTGTGTTTGGTTGGGGGATTTGGAAAGAGAAATAGAAAAGGTAGGTGAAATGTGAATAAATCATGCCTATATTTCACATAGTTTCACATACCTTTTCCTTTTCTCTTTCCAAATCCCTTCCCAAATCTCCCAACCAAACACAACATAAAGCAATACACATGATTTAGTGATTTATGAATAATTGTGTGAATTTAGGCACTACATACTATGTAGATAAAATATGTTCTATAAACTTATTTATAATATTGCTTAAATTTTGTAAAAATATAATTTGCCTTACCATTATATAATTTATTTTAAGACTTAAATATATGACCTTTTTATATTGTCTATGATATACTTGTTATACACAATACTTTCTTTTCGATTTTACTCAAAATTAATTGTAAAATTCTATGTGAAATACTTTTGTAAAAATTTATTTAAGTTTTTGTACTTAATATTAATTCAAAAATTATTATTATTTTCTTATTGTTGGTTATGGAAAAAAAATAAAATTAAAGTTATAATCAATAAATGCCCTTTCTGATTTAGTTTCCTGGCTCCGCCACTAATTCCAAGTGTTTACATTATTTCAAAAAATAGAGAAGGTATTGGAGAAATCATCAAACAATATTAGTTGGAGATACAAACCTATGTTGTTCTGGACACATATTATAATTTTTGTTAAAACTTAATAACAAATTTATTATTTATAGAATCAGCATGCTTATTGCTACAAAATTACAAAATTAGAATGCATATTACAAAATTAGAGATTAAAGCAATACACATGATTTAGTGATTTATGAATAATTGTGTGAATTTAGACACTACATACTATGCAGATAAAATATGTTCTATAAACTTATTTATAATATATATACTGTGCAAATAAAATATGTTCTGTAAAATTATATATATAATATATATATATATATAGACAATAATGTTATAAATTTGTATTCATTTATTTCCAATCAAAAGAGCCTTCAGAAGTCCCTAACCCCAATCTTTAAGTAGGTTATTGATATGG